AATAAAAATCACATTTAATGTGTACAAAAAAAAGCTCAAAAACTAATATGCATTATATTGGCGCATGGTTTTATGAGTGATTCCTCAATTGTGTGCACTTCTCCAGCGAGTGATAGCTAACTTTGTAAGTTGCCTCTGTTGCATTTTTGTTATCTGTTTGGGCAATTTTTGACATGAAGAGTTTACTTTTTTCAAGTGATTCAAGCTTCCCCTTAAAAAACTAACGTCTTTATCTTTGTATTCCGAGTGATTTATTTTGAAATGTCTTCGCAATTTAGCAGATACTAAAGAACTATTAGATAATATTTTGTTACATAGTATACACTGGGGATCTGGAGCATCTTTATTTCCGTTGCTTGTGAATGCAAATGACAAATAGTCTCGGCATACCTGCATTTCTTCTTATTTGATGATAATTGAGTGAAATCGGGTGGTGCTCGCTTATCTTGGGGGAATCACTCATTGTTTCCGTATATGCGGTAATCGATTGCTGAGTACGGGGATTAACGGTGCTATATATCAGCCAATTGCACCACTGACTGACTGCCCGCACAGCACTGAGTAGTGACATCATCGTCCCCACTGTCTGGCTAAGCTGGCATTACACAGGGACACTTATCATGGCAAACACAAACAAAAATTGTTTTCAATAAAATTCATAAATGCTTAAATATTAATTCTATTTTTAATCATAAAATATTATTGAAATATAATTTGCTTGCGGAACTCTTATTTTCACTTCACGGAACCCCGGGGTTCTATGGAACACTATTCGGGAAACACTGTTCCAGACCTACAGTATCTGTCAGTATTCATTTTTGGGTGCTAAATCTTCTTTTAGCCTTCTTTCCTATGTGCATGAAGAAGAGACTGATGAGTAAAGAAAAACCTAGGCTTTAAACATTTGAAGAGGTTTTCAATCGTCATCACGGGGGGTGATGGGCCACTTAGTCTTGTTGCAAAGTTTCTGCAGGATTGCTACATGTGTGAACCAGATGAGGTCTTTTCACAGGGGCTGCGTACAGCCAGCTTGACTGCTTTAGTGACTTGTACTAATAAAAGCATTAAACCTGTGGGGTTTCACAGTACCATCAACATTAGAATGTTTTTATTAGTCTTCCACTACTTCAGTGTTTTTCATGGCACAGAGTCTAATCCTTGTTTGCTGTGTGTGGGCAAACTCCCACTGACTTCAATTAGAGTCCTGGCTGTATGAAGGGAGGATGGGTAGCAGAGGATGGAATCTGGCCCTGTGACCGGATTACTACCTCTAGTGTGACTGTTCACAATCTAGCCATCTACAGCCTCACAGATCAGTGATTTGGAATCCCTGCATTAGACAGACCATTCACTCACCACAGGGACTCAGTTTATTGTGACAGCCACGCTTTTCATGCCGTGCATTGGAAAGAGAGCTGGGCAGGTAATGACTTTCCCATTCCACAAAAGTTTATGCAATTTCAAAAGTTTTTCCTGTTCCACAGTGGGATGAAACAGAGACCTTTTGAAGTTTTCATGAAAAACAAGTGAGACCCTAGCATAAGCCAGTAGTCAGGGTATTTGCCTGGGTTGGAAAAACCACATTCAAGTCCCTACTCCCAAGTTTTCTTCTTAGGGTATGTCTAATTACAGAGGGTTTTTTCAAACAGTGTTTTTTCCAAAAAAACGGCAATTACGTCCACACTACAATCGTGTTTTTTCAAAAGAAAATTGTAAGAACAGAGGGGTTTTCTGATGTTGGTAAATCTCTTTCTATCGGGAAGAAGCCTTTTTCCAAAAGAACTCTTTCGGAAAAAGGTGCATGTAGACGGGGAAGAGGGAGTTATTTCACAAAATGAGGAAAGAGGAAAAAGCACAGGAGACCTGGTGGCCAATTACAGCTTACATGCGACATAGTGTCCATTCAGTGTGGACACTGTCAAAAAAGCAGATGGCTTTTTCGATGCGCTTTTGCAGTGTGGACGCTCTCTTTCGGAAGACTTTTTTCAGAAGATCTCTTCTGGAAAAGCTTCTTCCGAAAGAAGCCTGCAGTCTAGACATAGCCTTTCTGTTAGGATTGGTGCTTCACGTGGGATGTTGTCTATATTTTTGCTGCAAGCAGCTTACTGTGAGTGAGATTCCATGCCAGCTGTGGTAATGACTGGGCCTGTGATCTGGATTCTACATGGCTTTGTGCTTGGTATAGTCATTGCCACTTGTGCAAAGTGGGTGTAAAGTGTGACCAAATCAGGATTCTCCACTGAAACTGGTGGAAATAGCATTTGTCCCACAAACACATAATATCTACTGTGGGTCCATTAATGCTGCAGGCAGCTCTTTCTGGAATGCCTGCTTGTATTTCCCAGCTGCTGTAGGCAAATTGTGACTCATTTCCTGTGTGGAAGTAAGTGGAAGGAGGTTCCTTGCATCTTGTACTCCCCCTAGCTCACCCAAATGGAAGCAGGCATAATCTGGCCCTTAAAGAGTTGAAAGCTCAGGTTCCAGTGTGCGCGACAAGTACTTTTAGTCTGGCAGGACAGCAGTCAGGGAGTGATCTCTTCATCAGTTTATTCCCAGGAAAACTGAACAAAGGGGATTAAAAAAGAATATATGCAGATGCCTTTGAGGACATTTCTCACCAGATCATAACTGTAAAACAGGGCAAATACGGGTTTTACATTTATTCTTTAGCTTGTGTCCTGTGTCCAGTGCCTAGCACAGTCCAGTACCAAACATGAGTTTTGGGTGCTTCAATGTCAATGGTTAATAAAAAATCATGTGGCCACCCCCCTTTAAACTCCCATGGCTATAGCATAGCAGGAAAATGTATTATATTATAAATGCTTGCAGTTTACACGCCAGCTCGAAGTACCATAGTATTGTCAGTAATCTTGCCAAAAGGAGCGGTTTGCTGGGGGCTAACATAATTTTAAATACTCCTTTTTAACCCCTAAAGAACTGGGGGGGGAGGGAGGGCAGGCAAACAGTGCTTGGATATTAAAACAGTTAGGCTCCGATATACTCAGACCTTAAATTCTTACCTAGGAAAAATGCCCAATAATTTACAATGTAACTTTGGGACTGGGCCCAGAATACATACTGGGTATTCAGGCTTATTGGAAGATGGATAATCCTCTGGTCTGAAAGGCCAGGAGTGAAATTTTAAGAGGAAATCTTTCATTTTGTACAATGCAAAACTCAGGACTGGATCCTCCACTGATGTAAACAGACTCCATCTATTCAACAAGAATTCTCCAATTCAGAAGCCCCATGCATACTGAGGATTGGGAAAGTAAACCACTTTTGTGACTATGCCTCTTTATATTTTGGGACCTGATACAGAGATCTGCATCTGACTGATAAAGAAACACTGTGAAGATGCATGTTTCTCAGCTGTTGAAATACATAAAATCAAACGTTCACAGAAAGAAATTTCTTTTCAACATCTCTGCAGTTTACTTGGCACTTTGTAGGTTCAGTGCATCTACTTAATAGTGCTACCTCATGTAGAGGACAGCCAGTTGGCAGCTACTGGGAAGAAACGGCGGGAGCTAATAGCAGAAGTGTTTATCCAGAAAGTTTTTTTTTAATAGAGATTAAACTGATCATGATTCATGAGTTTCTTGTGTTTACATTATAGTCATTGCATCTATGAAACGAATTCCATTAATACATCAATTTAGATAAAGTGTTCTGAATGACAGCTTTCTGCTCTGGTTGTAAATGACCATAAATTGCATTGTATAATATTATCAACAATCAGACTCTCTCTGTATCTATCACGTCTGTATTTGATTAATCACTAACACCTCTCCAAGCTCCAGACACGTAACACTAGCTAGATCTTTTCTATGAGGAAAGCCCTTCTATATTCATCTTCTAATTGTCCTGCCATTTCCAAAATCCTTGGACATTGGCTACAGTAGTAAAATTGACACTGGTGTAAGTTACACCTCTGCCAGGCTCTAATGTAGATGTGCTTATAGAGGTTTGCATTGGGGTTACTTAATTCAGTAAGTCACTAGAATAAGGCAGAGCAGTGGAGTCCTGACAGCATTGGCGCTGTCCCTCTGTATTAGTGGTCTGCTCCGGTGTAACTATACCACTGTTATACCAATACACATTTCTCTCCTGTAGTTAGGGTTTAGGTCTCCACTGCCTTGCTCCTTGTATAGTCATTTATACCAATGTGGAAAATGAGGGTAGAGAAGTGCACGTAAAAATCTAACATGCCAGAATAGTTGCATTTTATATAAACTTTGCATTAATCTTGCACTAATATAAATGGCTACTCAAAGCAAAGGGCAGTGGTGAATTAGACTCTTGGTTTGAAATTTAGAAAGTTTTTTGTGTAATGAATCCCAGAGCTGGCAAACAGAAAATTCTAAACAGTGCAGAACTTGTAGCTGATAGACCACAAGTTCAGGGGTTTGGTGACAGGAAAAAAAAATTAAATGTAAAGGAAAGTAGCAAAGTTAGATAATTCTAATATTTTCAGGCCAGATCCTCAATTACTATATATTGGCATAGAAACATTGGAATTTATGGCTGAGGTTAGAGAAGCAGTTCTATGACAGCTCCTAAGACAAGCATTTGGCCACAGTCCTTAGGAGTGGAAAGTATTATTGTTTGTTATTACATGTCACCATATTCTCTGTTGGTTTCATTAGTTAGGATGACTTCTTCGATTTTTCCAATTGTCAATTTTAATCAATTTGTAAGTGACCAGAACATTTTAAAATATCAATGTTTATTGAGTCTTTACGAAATACATTCTTTCTGCATCATGCAGCTGTTATTAATGGGATTTTAAGTGGGAGTAAAAGTGGGGCTTTATATAGGCTGAGTACCTTTTGGGAACAACCATGCCAAATAGTCCACTTATTATCATTTTTTTGAAACAGGAGCTACCGGTAAGTGAATTTGTTTGGTTCATTTACTCCCAGCAGGTGTCACTAGAGGGCAAAGAAATAGGTTAAAATTAATAATGAACTATATGTTTCTAAGAATTACTGGCAGGCTTAGCCTCCAAATCCGTAAAGAGTACGGCCTTGGCGTTTCAGTGCATAAACTACGTCCATAGCAGTCACTGTCTTCTGCTTCGTGTGCTCAGTGTAAGTAAGGGCATCTTGGATCACGTTCGCTAGGAACACCTTGAGCACTCTCCAAGTCTCCTTGTAAATGAGACCTGAAATGCGCTTCACACCCCCACGACGTGCCAAACAGCGGATAGCTAGCTTCGTAATACCCTGGACATTATCTCTCAGTATCTTCCTATGGCGCTTAGCACCCTTGACATGGCCAGACATGTTCGCTAGTACTGAAATCTAATTATAATCTCTGCAAACATATGAGGAAAGTTAAGAAGCATGAGTGTGTCAGGATATTCTAGCAGCTACCTGGTGTATGAAGATCTGGACATTTTCTTTGAGGGAATTAATCGCTTGGTTGGTCTTTTAGACTAGCTTTTTTCCTCAGTTAAGTCATTTTATGGGCTGCTTAAGAAATCTAAGTGAAATTTGGGAGGTTGCAGAAAGGGGCTTCTGTTTTTAGAAATGTCTTATCTCTAATGCTACTTCTTAGATATTATTCCCTTCTATCTCACTGTATACAACACCTGATCTGCAGGCCCACAAGCAGAGGTGCTGGAATAATGTGCATAATGGGGGTGCTGAGAGCCATTGAACTAAACTGTAAAGCCTGTATATCAGGAGTGGGCAATAATTTTTTGCCAGGGGCCATGTCAGAAATTTTTGAAGTGGCCATGGGCTGTACTGGAAGGGGTGAGGCCTCAAGAGGAAGGAGTGGGGCCAGGATACTTCCCTGCTTCCCCGCCCACAGACCATGATTGGTCTGAGGGGGGAGGAGAGACTTTGCCCTCCCCAGAGGTTCCCCCTAGGAGCCCAGGCCCTTGGCGGTGGGACACTTTGCACACGCCCCCTTCTGCTCCCAGGCCAATCAGGGCTTGGGGGCAGGAAAGTGCATGAAGTCTCCTCCCGCCCTTCCAGGAGTGCATGGTGCTTCTAAACACTGTGAGCTCCTTGCACAGTGGGGGCAGGGCAGAGGAAACTTCACGTGCTCCCTCCGTCCCTAAGCCCTGACTGGCCTGGGGGTGGGAGAGCAGCAGGGCCTCCATGGGCCGGATCAACCCTTTTGCCCACCCCTACTGTATATAATGGAAACCACTTCAAACCAGGGGGTGCTGCAGCCCCTCCCTTGTCCCTAGTTCCAGCACCCATGTGTAAAAATGAGAGAGAGCTAGGATGTTTCATATGAAAATGTGATTAGCCTCACTGGACAATGTTCTTTTGCACAGGAGCTTCTGGCGAATTCCACAAATGCCCACTCTTATCAGTTTAAGATTGTCAGCACTGATTTGGTTAAACTGGCACACAAAGAGCTTATAGCTTAGTTTGTGGTTGCTGTGCTGTTGTTGTGAGCAGGAAGAGGAACATAACGCAGAAAAAGACAGGGGCTACGTCTTCACTGAGAGCTTTTTCCGGCAGAAATCTCATTAGCATATTTCCTGCCTTTTCTTTTTATGCAAGGGGTTTTTGCCCAAAAAGAAGTAGTGTGGACATTTTTTATCCTGGACAGGCATAAGAATCTTGCGCAAAAGGGGTTTTTGCGCAAATAAAAAATGTCCACACTGCTTCTTTTTGTATAAAACCCCTCGTGTAAAAAAAGTGGCAGAAAATATGCTAATGAGATCACAACTCATGCTAATGAGGGATTCATTTCTGCCAAAAAAAAACTGGCAGTGAAGACAAAGCCAGGGTAAAATGATGTCTGTGAAAGTTTTGTAATTGGTTTCAATAGCGCCAGGCTTTTACCCATGGATCCTGTCTCAAGGAGCTTACAGCCTGAAACCTGCCAGGAGACTGTAATTTAGATACACCAGGTAGAGAGTGATGAGGAGTCTTAAGGCACCTTATAGACTAACAGATTTATTGGAGCATAAGCTTTCGTGGGCAAAGACCCACTTCGTCAGATGCATCTAAAAATATAAATCTCCTGGCTAATTTGATAGAAGCATTCAAAAAAGCTGCATATAATTTTATTGTTGTCATTTGCCATTTTGTTGTTGTCATTTTAATTTTTAAATACCCAGGTCATTCAGTTTTAACTACACTGTACAGTCTATAAAGAGACTTTCTGTTAAAAGATTTGTGGCAATATGCAGCCATCCAGAAGACAGGCTGCTGTCGATTCTGAGTATTATAATGTTGCCATTTTATCTTTACTCTGCCAGATCAGCACTAGGAGAAGCCCCTGTGCATTGTTATCCCCTGAAATAAAACCTGTAAGAGCACGTGCGCTTGTATCTTCCATTATATTTGTTTTGTTTTATTTCAGCCACTAATCAATTGTAGATTTCAGCCTTTAGCTTGGGGTTATTGGAATGCTATTGTGGCTGAATAACATCTGTTTCAGTTTTGATCCATCTAGAATGAAAGCATTAATCACTACAAATGGAGTGTGAAATGGAAAGAAAAGTTAAATGCACATTTGATTCTCAACAGTCTCAGAAAAATGTCTTTCAGGATTTGCCCAAATGGAAAGCTCCACTGTGATATAGTAGATTTTGCAACCATGGCTAAGGTTGAAAGCCTATCACATTTTCCATTCAAAATATCTCCTTCCTATAGTGTGTATTATAACTGCCCTATAAAAAAATTCTACACGTAAAAAAGATCCTTAAAAACAAGTTGTCTTTTGTTTTGTTTAGGTTACTGGAGTGCGTATAAAAAATAGTTCCTTGTTCCAGACTCTTTGTGCCCTTAGCACATTCTGTGCTCCTGGTACTGTCCAATGGCTTTGCTTGTTCCATTAAAACGAAAATGTGCAAGCAATTGGCATGTGGCAAAGGATTTGCAAGGCTCTATGTAAAGAAAGATATGTGGGGCCCCTTCTAACTCCCTCCTGACCTGTGACTACCGCCTCTCACTTTCACACACTATGACAGCCCTCACCTTCTAGCTGCCAAGTGAATGCAAAAGCTACTGTGCCATTCACAAGTTAGCTGGCATTCAAAAAGCCTGAAGCTAGGGATGCAGTACCAGACCACAGATGGATAGGGAAGAAGAATGTCTGAGGCAGTTGGAGGGACTTGGAGGATCTAAGAAGGTCCATCAGGAGCTCTGTTACTGGGGCTGTCAGCTGTTTGCCACTGGAACCGCTAATGTTTGAAGTCCTATGTTGCAAATGGGTAGCATGTACTAGGCTCTTTTTGCGTTCTGATGTATATTTATCAAAGACTAGATAAACTACTGGATAATATACTTCAAGGAACAACCCTGCCCTAGCAGAGTGAGGGACAAGAGTATGAATGTATAGATTTTTTTTTTCTCATCTCCAATTTTGGATCCTAGAATTCCATGACATTTGGAGTCTGACTAGGAACATTTTCTTTAATACAGCCACTTTTACATTCTAAGGAGTAATCAGTAATCAGGAGCAACAGGAGTGAAATATTGATAGACTTTTTAGCCTTTACCCCAGATTTATTTTATTTTGTACATTTTAGTCTCTCTCTCTCTTTTTTTTTTAATTATTCTTCATTCTAGTTTGCCCTTCCAAAGAGTGTTTTTCTTTTACAGGCAGGTAAATTTGTAGTCAGTGAGTTGTAATTTGTGTTAAAGACAGGAGGGAAAGCAAATAGACTACTCAAGCATGAGACTATAGTTTGATCCTGCCAACCCTTCACTCATGAGAATAATCATTATTTAGGTTTAAAAAAATCTCTACTGAGATCCATGAGAGTATTTGTACGATTAGGGGTTTCCAGAGTCATGAGCCTAATTTTTGGTGCCTCACAACAGTCTACATATGAATATGTAGTCAAGATTGTGTTTCTCAGTTTTTGCATGTTTATTCTCCAATTACACTCTGGTAGAAAGTATACAGTACTAGAAAGGAGGAAAGAGAAGAATCAAAATATTTTCCTTGCAGTTTTAGGACCATGTGATTGCCTAGCTGTTTGTCTCCTTTTGTTCAGTGAAGCTCATGTGTGTTTCTTTTGCAACTCTATGGGGTTCACAGAACTATAGATATTCAGCTATGCCTGAGCTAAATAGAGCCAGTGGACAGACAGCTGTTTCCATTCTGTCCTGACCTGTGAGAAGCTTATCCGGAAGATATATATATATATACTGTTACTATATATAACTCATTAATACAATGTGAGTTGGTAGATACTCATACAGATACACTCCCTCTCAGGAGTGTCCTCTTTTTTGAAAGTTCAATATGGTAACCCTAAATGTACAGTTTGACAGCAACATTCCTGACAGCTGCTTTGGAAGGCCCCCAACACAGCAGAATGCTGCATGAGGATAAGTGGTCATATGCATATGAGGACTTTGTAAGGCTGCATCCTCCCCTATCAGAAACTCCCTCCTAGAGTTTTCTGGGCCTTCTAATCCCTTTCTTCAGGTTTTACCCTGAAGGGTGGGGATACAATATAGACCTAATTTTCCTGGGGACGGGGAGGTGATAGATGGTGCTCTCAATGTGTCACTCATGTTGCTGAATTCATTCTGTGGCATGTCTGTTTTATGAGATTATGAATATTTGCAGGCTGAGAAAATGGCAAAAATCAGCTCACCCAGGTACACTTATTTCAAAACTACATGATAACAAAATGGAGATTCCTAATCAAGCTCTTCAAGTCAGGTGATCCTCATACAAACAAATGGGAGTAATTAGTCCCTAAAACCTCAGAGAAGGTTGCTCACAGAAGTCCTCAAATAAAGTAGAACATAAATCCCCCAGAGCAGTCAATACTGCATGCTATATTCACTTGAAAGGTGTTCTAATCAGCATAAGATTGTATGTTTTTCTCAGTGTATAATTTTGGCATAGCACAATCCATTCAGCAGACAGTCCAATTCATCTTCCTTTTTTTGTTATCGCTCCTTCCCTCCATAGGTTGCCTTTATTAGTAACCTCTCTGTGCTTTAAACACATTCCAACTACCGGAGACAGCTGTTGCTGGTTTTAATTATCCACTTTTGCCAGGCCACTGTGCCAGTCTAGGATGTGAGGATTACCTAGAACATTGTTTTCCCGCTTTTTAAAAGCTGAACCCTACCTCCCAGAAAATAAAATCACTTTCATCACCTTGCAACTTTACCATACATTGTTAAAACCACTCTATCTTAATTTATGTATATTCTGCAACCCAAGCTATTCCTTCATTCTATAAAATGCTGCTGCACATCCTTAAAATATGGTATTTTCTCAGTTTTCTTACGTTTTGATTAGTAGTGAAATCACTAACAATATTGACATTTAAAATATCATTGTT